TAAGTATGATTTCTACTCCAAAATCAAATAATTAAGTAATTGAATTACTTACTTTGATGCCTCAACCTTATTGTTATTAAAAATAATAAACACATTAGTAAACTTCAAGAAATTTAAATCAATAAACTAAATAAATCAAATATGAATTGAAATATAAATTTGGGACCAAACCCTCAGAACTATCAACCTTTCACGTCGAGGTCGAAGGCAACGTCGAGTATGGTTTTTAGTATTCGAATCACGTAAAGGAAGTATTGTATTTGTTTTGGAGAGTATCAAGGATTGTGTTTAGGCTAAGGCTAAGAACATAGGTGTTTGATAAGGATTGTTGATGATGATTGAAGCTAAGAATTCTTGATGGTTGTAGCTTATTGATGGTTATTGTCCATGCCTTGAATCAGGGAAAACGACCTCTATTTATAAGGAAAAAAGAGAGTCGAACGATTAGAAAAATATTAGAATTTGAAAGGAAATTAAATTGCTTTTGAAGAGACACGACAGGATTGTTGTGCAGTGCTGGGTTCTGTCACGCCGCGACAGGCCTATTGCTGTGTGATGGACCTGTCGTCGCGCGATGGCTCAAAAGGTAATTTGATTTGGCACAGGGTTTGATTTCTAGTAATGGAATTATATTTGTGAAATATATGAGAATGTCTTTGAGATTTTACGAGATAAGGATCGGATTATCAAAAAGAGAAGTTTTATCTGAACTCGAACTCTTTAATCTTTATCTTTTTGGAAAGGATTGATTAGAACCTTCTAGAGGACTCTAGAAGTTCCTAACTGGTTTTGGATTGAGAATATGATCATATAGGGCCTAAATAAAATATTTGGACTCCATATAATCATTGGGTTGTACTAGAGGTGGACCTAGGCTCGGTTTGGGTTCGGTTTAGTATTTTCGTCATAACTTATTTGTTTTAAGTCGGATTTGGGATTATAATATATCGTTGGAAAACTCTTTTCAAGACCCATTTAGATAAATAATAATTGGACTAAGAATATGGACCAAAATAATCTGGTTTGGACTTTTTATGATTTGGACACAAAAAGAATGATTTTAAGGACATGAAATGAATGATTTTGGGTTTAAGGACACGAAATGAATGATTTTGAATTAATATATTTTTGGTAAGGTTAGAAATATGTTCAAGGTCTAAGGAAACTTTGTGAGAATCTTCAACTCTTTACTGAACTCATAAATTAGAACGTGAAAGGTACCCATCACTGATTTGGTTTTTGGGAAGACACGATTAGGTGTCTACACACATATTATGAAAGTAGCATGGTCCATCATGTGTGCAAGGCCCAAGTGCCATGTTGGCATGCGCACGCATGGCCTATTCTGCGTGGGTCAACTTGCAATGACACGACTCTTTAGCTAGTCAGCATTGTATGTGTGTGCACGTGCGCGCGCATGGATTTAGGGTATATGTGAACAACTTTCCTAATCTTAATTGGTTTTGAAGGAGGATAGTATTACTATAAACCCTAGTCAATTAGATTGATAGGAGAATATAAGACATTGTATTAGCCTCCATCAAAGTAATAACCTAAATCTTGAGATATAATATACATTACATGTTTAAAAGACAACACACTCAAGGCAAATTTGATCATTTTGGTTGACTAACTATAGAAGGATGGCACTTGTGATTCTAGTTAGACGCAGATTGAACGGACAAGCAAGTGTCAAAGATGTAATGTTTTAAATGCTTATTGTACATTGATGAGTCTTTTGAATTATACTTGGACTTGGGCATGGGTTTGTTTTTGCACATTAATTAGATTTATGTAAATCCCAACAGCTGTGTCAATAGCATCTAGTATTAACTCAATATGTTTAAAAGTTGATGCATTATTAAGATTGCTGAAAATTAATTAACTAAACTAGGCTAGGTCCCATGTCATGCTCGATAATTTCACTAATATTCTAAATCTATAACTAATATTAAAATAGCAACCGCTGACATCATTCCATCCTAAAATTAGACATATGTCATGTTGTCGCTAAAAATTTTTCCTTCAAAACTACAAATGATGTCATTATTTTATGAATTTTTTTTTATTAAAATTCTGGCCAACTATATATTATTATTATTAGTATCAATTTCGAAAAATAGTCTACTCTCTCTAACAACAATAATTAAAATTTTCTCATCATTCACTTTTCTATGAGCTCTTATTCTTTTTAAAAAAATATTTGAAGTATTATTTGTTTCGGGATTTTTTTTTAAAAAAATGTTATAAAAAAAATTAAGAAATTATTTGTTCAAATCGTGCATTCCACGAGACTAATCTAGTTTAACACTATTTTTGTAAACAACAACAACAACATAATACATCTTTTCTAAAAAATTTGTTACAAAATTACTATATACTCTATACAACATATACTGTATAGAACATATTTAAATATATAAAATAATATGAAGTACTATCATATTTAAATATATAAAATAATATGTACTCCGTATGATATGTAAAGTAACAAATATAGAATATATTTTATACAATAAAAGATATGGAAATGATTGATGTGAATACTTTATTAAGAAAGTGAATCATAATTATATGATTTGGTGAATTAAGGAAATGAATCACATTTATAAAGAAAGTGAATATTATTTTAGGAAGTGAATAAAAAAAAGTTTTGGAGGAAAAAAACAGCACTAACAAATGACATGCGTCATTTTTGGTGTCTGTTTTAGTATTATGTTATTGATTACTCATCCGGTTTGTAAGTTGTCACACTTGACCAAGTACACATTCTGAAAACGATTTTGACTATTGATTTTTCTAATTATATGTGATTAAAATTATAAAAAATTGATACTCTGAATTAAAGTATACATTGAATGTAACGAATTCCACAACGTATTATACAATGACATTTGTTTTAATTGTAAATGAATCAAGTTAAAACCATTACATGGTTTTTAAAAAAAAAAATTAATTGTAAATAAAGGTGTAATCAAGCTTTCGTGCCTATTTCAAATTTCAATGTTTCACACTAATTTGAGAGCTTGTTACAATCTCCGGTGTGCACAAAAAGCTTAAGCTCAAACTGAAATTGTTATTGTGTTAGTTTAATAAGTCTTTGGGAGATGAATCATTATTTCGTGACCTAAAACGATCATATATGTATTAGGTGAGAAGACTTTTTAGTATCCACAATACACATCCTGTATAATGGAAAACATTCTTACATATTATTCTGTTTAGAACTAGAATAACATTCTAAAATATATGCAAATTGGAAATAATTCATCTCTTAAATAGCGCATTATGATCCCCTTTAGTTAGAAAATATTCCCTTACTTAAAATACATTAAAGAAGGAATCCTCAATCTTTGAAAATATTGAATATTCGTCAATTAATAGATCGTGTTCAGCAATCAGGCTTTTTGTTCAGTTTCCTAAACTATTAGTGTCCTAAGTACTAGCTCAACTATTCTTGATACTCAGAATACTTAACTTCTCTAATCTACACCACTAGTCCTACACCAGACTAACTAATTAATATAAAGTATTATCATATAGATCTTCGTACTCTTCAAGTCTTGAAACATCTCTTGATTAAAACACTTTGATACACTTCTTTCTTTAACTTTGAGAGGACTGAAATACTTCAGAGACCTGGATAGTTCTATTGTACAAAGGAAACAACTGAAAACACAAAGCATGCAACACCTAGCTAAGTTGTTTATTTGTCATCAATTCAAAACCTAGGGAACCCAACCGCTTATTTTTGCTATAAGACAAAATGAGATATTATTTGTCGAAACAAATAGACTCTTAGTGAACCCTAAATCGACCTCTTTTACAGTTACATCATCAATATTAAGTGGTTCATCAAGGTTGCCATTGAAATTTTCATAGCCTTTTGGCTTTCAAAATTTATGTGCAAACCTAAAGACCTCCAATGAGCATTTTCCAATAGTCATCCAAAAATAATTAAGAATTACCCCCATTAATAGTTAAAATCATCTAATTTTTTTTATTAATAAATTCTCTATCTCTAAAGAGTAAAAATCAAATTTCAATGTGTGATAAATTTATATTATCCTTACAATTATATATAATTACTTATTATTATTCACACTAAAATAATATATAAAGTTCAAATTACACTAAAATAGGGTTAAAAATTATCCAAATTTTCATTGAAATGTACCTTAAAATTGTTTAAAATACAATGTCTAAGAAATTTATGGACCTAAATACAATAACGTAATGTGGACTATACGGTTATGATTGTATTTATACGCTATCATATAGTTTAGCCCAAACATAAAGTGATCAATTTAAGTAATTATTATTGTTAGGCTTGTTTCGTGTTTAATAGAGTACGTGTTTAGTTTTATGTGTAAAAACCATTGGACCCTTTCTAATGCATGATGGGCGGATTATGAAGGGAGTCTATATAAATAGACTTCTAGGGTTATGGTCCCTAGTAGTAAATTCAATAAACTCTCAATAATATCCCATCAATAAAGTGTGTATCTACTAGAAGACGCATAATCAATAAGAGGTTCGATCAATTGTCATGAAATCAGGTATGCTTCCGCAATTAAGATTTACCAATTAATTTGATATGAATACTTAAATATATTGTAGGAATTAATCCTAACACACTAATATTATTGTACACCTGATATACACAAAAATTTTTGAATGCTATTTAATCAAACCATGACACTAGCATACTCATCCAACTCAAGTTCCAAACACCCCATTTTAGCCTGTATGATCAGACAAGCAATTAATATAAAATACAGTAGGGCAAGTTGGTTGTGAGTTGGGTGAGAAGGCAATTTATGGTAAATTAATTAGAAAGAATATGAGGTTCCTCTTTTTTAAGTCGCCTCTTTGGTACGTATACTCCATAATTTAGAAGCTTGAAAAGGGAAATTAAGGAAGTAACTAAATGCAAAAGGCAAACAAACTTTTAATGCTTATTGCAAAGTATGTGGGTCGTGTTGTATGGCGCATTTGCTCTAAATTAAATGCTCCAACTCAATTCCAATTACACATCATTGCTTTGCTGTGCTTACCACCAATACAACGATTTTGACAATGAAAAGCCATGATATTTCCTACTAATATTGCCTTTTTATCTCATCTTTTTCCTAGCTTTTCTTCTTTTTTTTTTTTTTGAGGAAATCTAGCTTTTCTTCTCATGCTCTTCTTACATACCTAAAAACCAAATATTTGTAAAATTATAAATCCTTTACGTCAATGGAGCCCAATAAGTATTCTAGAGTTTTCGCTATTTTGATCTTTTGTCTTTTACTCAATCCTTACATCATTTCAGGTATGTTACGGTTTGAATCTTTGTCATCAACTCTTGTTTAATTTTTGATGCAAATGAGTCATATAGACAGTATAAGTTACAAAAGGAGTTAAGAGAGATTTGAACCTCACAGTCCCTCAGTCTTAACTACTAGACCAATGTTTCGCTGATTTTGTCATCAATTATTGGTTAGTTCGTTATAATAAGATGGGCGCAAACTAGATTAGCTGATAAATACGAATACTTAAAAAGTGATACCAAAGATCTAATGTCGTATATATTATTATTGCTTTCAATCTACATTAGTCGGTTTTAAAAATATTCTAATTGTAACACACTTGTATATAGTTTGCTAATGTTTGATATATTTGATTTGTAGGGGTAGCAGAAATGTCAAAAGTAAAAGAAGAAGATGTATATGAGATTGATTATAGAGGTCCGGAGACACACTCACACATTCCACCTCCAGAGCGATTTAAAAGAAATCCATACATACATCACAAAGTTGTGACAACATCTAGGCAACCAGCTGCCATCAATATTAGGAAAATGGTAACACACTCTTTTTGACAGACTCAAATTGATTGTTTCTTAACTTAGTGATTAAACTTGATCTTAACACATTGCTGAAATTGATCATAATCTACGTTCCTCTAATTAATTACTAAATGTATATACTCATAATTTTAGTGTGCAAATTGGATATTTTTTTTTTTTTTGGTTAATAAAGAATAGTGATAATTTGCCTATTAAGACCTATAAACATTCGTCAAAGGATCTTTACTGAAAAATCAAGGTATTGTGATAGTCTTTTATACTCACATGATCCGAAATCAACCTGAAAAAAAAATAAATTCTGATATCGACTTGGTTAGACACAATAATTTAATATGTTAAAAAAAAAAGAAAATAAAATAAAATAAAATAAAAAAAAACTTAACCCGACTCCATCAAACTTGATCCAGACACCCAAAATGACACATCTACACTTTAGTATAAAAGTGGTATGCTTAAGATGATTATGAGATAAGTCAAAATTAAACTCATTGACATAAAGTATGACACTATGACTAAGTATACCTATTGACACATACTTGTTTGCATAATTAAATTAATACTCCGTACGAAATAATTGGGCACTAGAAGTACTAGCTAACATGTACTTATTACTCCATGATAGATAACGTCAACAAAATAGTTTTAAAGACCAAATATACTTGTCATTAAGTTTATTTAATACAATGTTTATTTATAAAGCATGTTTAATTAATGTCAATTGGGGGTTATATTTCATGTAAATGAGTGTAAATTTCCCCGCATTTATCTAAAACCCAAATAGATACGTTTTTTAAAAGGTATATAGTACTAAAAAAAAAGAAAAAGAAAAGAAAAAAGAGAAAAAAAAAAAGAGGTTGTCATTAAGAACAATGAAAGGAGTAACATATTTCGATTGTGTTTTTCTTATTTTGCAGGGAAAGTAAGTTGCCCATCATCAATGCAAAGGGAAAATAGATATATATTTGTTCACCTTTGGTTTTATAGTTTTCTTCGAATATATAAGAATAATGAGTTGTATCTAAATTTATCTTATGTGATTCATACTAAAGGCTTTTTATTTTATAAAACTCTCGTCTTAACAACTATATATAATAATGCTTTGGATTCAAACCTTGTAATGGTTGTTATATTACTTCTATGTGTTTCAATTGTTTGGGTATAGCCTTAATTGAAAAACATACATTTAGAATTGAAAGAATTGTTGAAAAATAATACAAATTTTTAACGGTCCGCCAAAAACAAGTTAATCTTTTGATTATTTTTAAAAATACAAACTTTAAGGGGTGTCCGCTTTAAACAAGATACTTTACCTACAACATATATGGGCGGTTAACTTTTTTGTTTTTTTTTTTTACAAAATCGTTTAACAATATAATTTACTTTTAATCAAAACTTTAAGCATGAACAATTTCTCATGTAACTCTTAATTAAATAAATCCTAACTAAATAATTAATTAATTAGCTCCTATTGTTATTATTATTTTTCTAAAACATTATTCTAATATCATTATATATATATAAAAATAAAAAAATAAAAAATAAAATAAAATAAAATAAAAACATTACCACCTTTCCCACCACCACCAACAGTCCAACCACCCCCTCCCCACCCCAGCTGCCGCCACCAAACCACCTTCCTCCTCCTTGTGTCGGCCGACCGACTAGCCCCAGCCTTTCCTTTTCCCTTCCTCGGTTCCCCAAACTACCCCTTTCCCCCTCCCCTTCACCGGAACCCAAAATCCCTAAACCCGAAATCTAAACCCTAACTAATTAGGAAGGTTTGGGCTATGGGATATCGGGTTTAGGTTGGGGGTTTTGGGTTTGGGTCGCGCCGGCTTACAATGGAGGAAGGGAAGGGAGGCTTGACATTCGGTGAAGGGGATGGGGATGGGGTCGAATCGAGCAAGGGAAGGGGAAAGGGGTTGAATCGGGGCAAGAGAAGGGCTGGTCGGCTGGGCTGGGCTAGGCGATCGGCAGGCCGACGTGAGGGGGTTGGAGGGAGTCTTGGCAGCGACTGGCAGCGAGGGAGAGGGCGGTGGCTGGGCTGGGCTGTGGTGGTGGAAGGTGTTTTTTTTTTGAAAAAGGTTTTTTTTTTTCATTTATAATAATAATAATAATGATGATGATGATGTTTTCGAAAATAAATTAGTAGTTTTAATAATAAAGGGTGGGATTTTATTAATATAATTACTCTAGTCCCTTGCTTAGGGTTTCGTGAGTCCCTAATCTAGGGTTTCGTAAAGTAAGGTAAATTTTGAGAATTTTTGTGCTTTTCACCTCAATTTTCGAGTGTGATTCGATGACAGACTAGGATGGGTGACGAGTTATTGAATGATTGGAAAAAGCTTCGATTGACAGATGAGGTAGAACTGGTTTTAGGTGGTGATTACGTGGAAACGGTGACTGATGATATAAAAAACCAAATACAACTCACCCTAGTTGGGAAGCTATGGACTGTTAAACCTTATAAGTTAGAAGCAATGAAACGTACCCTAAAAAATGTATGGAGGCTAAAGGAGAAATTCGTTGTTAGGATTGTGGAGACGAATTTGTTTGTCTTTCAATTCTTCTGTATAGAAGACAAGGAACGTGTTATGGAAGGAAGGCCGTGGTTTTTCGATGAAAAATTACTCCTTCTATAGGAGGTGCAGGGGGATGAGCAATCCTCAGAAATTACCTTCAAGAACACTCCTATGTGGGTGCGACTGATGGATGTGTCGTTTAATAAAAGATCGGTGGCTGTGATGTATGATGTAGGAGAGTTTCTTGGAGGTTTTATGGAGATGGACGAGTCAGATCCCCTTGGTTGGGGTGAGTGTATGAGAATAAAAGTCCTTGTGGACATCAATAAACCCCTGCGTAGGGGGCTGTTCCTTGCAATGGGACAAAAGAAATCGAGATGGATCGATATAAAGTATGAGAGGCTAGCAGATTTCTGCTTCTTTTGTGGCGGGCTTGACCATACAGAAAAAGAATGCAACCAGAAGGAGCAAGAAAAAGACGAAGAAACAAGGATGGTATTTCAATATGGGCCATGGCTTCGTGCCTTGTAGGGTTTCGTAGTGACCCTCACTACGCGGAAAGAAACCCGCCAAGACCCGCCCCCATAATAAATGCAATTAACAAGCAAAACAAAATAAAAATACAAGAAAGGATAAAAGATTATACCTTTGACACGTGCTTCGCTAAACTATGAGCTCTTACTTGAACCTCGAAAACACGAGGCCTCCGACGGGATCGTACCCTCGAACCCGACCCGAGCGTCCTAAATCTCGAAGGTTAGTCGAGACCCGGACAAATAAAACTATGAGTTTTACGAATCAAGGTTTACTCAAATCAAGAGTTGCCTTTTAATTCCACTCAAGGTTATGTCTTTCCCAATACCCATGCCTTTAGTATTTATAAGGAAATGCACCCTTGAACTTTATTTCCCAACCAATGTGGGAGAATGAATAATTTTGATAATTAATAATTAAATCAATCGCAATGCAACAAGTGTTAAGGAGAGAGAGAGAGTTAGGTGAGGACCAAAGGCTTGGGGGGAAGACCATTGCCTCGATCCCCAAGCCATTTCTCCAAGCAATGGTCCCCACTCACCACAAACTGCCTCAAACAAGGGGTGCTGGGATGCTGCTAGCTAGCACGCCAGCTAGCAGTGCCAGCTAGCCCAGCCAGCTAGCACCAGCCCAGCTAGCAGCCTCGCATCCCCAGCCAGGCAATGCGTGCCGGCGCTGGGCGATGCTTGGCGCTGGTGCTGCGTGCTAGTGCTGTTTTATGCTAGCATGCTGGCACTGGCCTAGCAACTCCCACGCAATCTCTCGCACACACACGCTGCTACGCATAGCCATGCCAGCCAAGGTCACGCACTTGCTAGCAGCGCATACCCAGCACACTCCTCGCCCACACGTACACGCACCACATGATGCGCACCAACACGCATACGCACCACACGCACTGCTAGCCCAGCTAGAGTGCCTAAGCACGCAAGGGCCTAGCATGCGTGTTGGGCGATGGTGCGAGGCATGCTATGGCATGCGATGGTGCGAGGGACGCAATGGCCTGCGATGGTGCCAGGCATGCACGCACACGCACATGCGCTAGTGCCCAGCACTGCGATGGTGCTGTGCATGGTGCTAGTGTGCTGCGATAGTGCCTACGCACATTCACACACACATGGGTGCTGTGCTTGGTGCGATAGGGCAGCAATGGTTCCTAGGCATCATGCTAGGGCTGCGATAGCGCCTAGGCACTCATGCCTCGCCTAGCACACCATGGTGCGCCTAGGCTTGCGATGAGCTAGCCTAGCCTAGCTACGGCCACGCTCATACTTGTTGCTTGTGATTTTGTGACGCTCGGTCTCGACGCCCTAGGCTCGATATCCGAAGTCTGTATTCGTAAAACTCTGTCGACTCATTAAATACTTCGGATTAATTCGTCGTCTTGGATCGGTTGTTCGATTGGGTACGACCCGAAGGGTTCACTTAAGATTAAGCTGTAATATTAATTGTACCTTAATATTACTGATCGGAAGCGGCCTCCACCTAGGTATTCCGATCACTTGACCTTATTGAAGAATTAGCTCCGTAATAATTCTGAACCCTCTATCAGAATAATACACTTGTTGGAAGGACACCATTCCTTTCAATATCCCACTTGTCCTTCCGGACAAGTGTGCAAACAGTGTATAGCCCATTTCCTATGTCGCTTAATGTCTATTCGTGAATTATAAGGTAAGATTCATCGTCATCCTTATTACGTTCAGAAGTGTTTCTCGATCTCCGAGTTCAACTGTCAATAAACAGATGATTTCTAAAATCCATCTGAGCACGGCCATGCATTTTCACAGTCTCGCTCATCGAGCAGCCTTGTAAACAACAAAGACATATTCCGTATTTGTTAATAGGGGGACATTCCCAGTCTTGTATTGTAAGTTTCTCTTACTAAGAGGACCTAATCTCTCGAGTGTTCCCGTTATGATCCCCAGTTACGGCAGACGTTAGGCAGCATTAAAGAGACTAGTTCTCAAACAAGAAAACTTCACAACACTCATGGTCGAGGAAACGAGTTCCTATAGCTATAATGAGGAATGTACTTATGACAATTTTTGAATCTCTTAAAGTACTCTCACAGGTCGATCCAGTGCAGTTCCAAACTGGCACCTGTGCAAATGATTTTTGACCATTATGTCCTTGCAGCACAAGAAACGGTGCTGTAAATCATACTACACACTAATCTCTGGTGGTCATAAATCGTCCATCAGTTAGATGACCTTGATTAGGGATAATTTTTGATTTAAATATTCAATGTTCACTTATCAGGTGTTTCTTTATCCAAGACATGGTCTTGATACCCTGTTTTGAATATTTCCATAAATCGAATGGACTCATTATTTAATTCTAAACCACAATTAAATAGCAATGGAGCGAATGATAATTTTGCTCAAAAATTAATTACTCCATTAATGAATGGTTTCAATACAGTGTCTTACCTTAAAATAACCTGTTTAATTAAAACACATGTGCAGGGAGTTTCAAAGCCAGTCTCCAACGTGCTTGATTCCCATTGCCTCAACGTGCTTGTTGTGTTTCACTTGAGGCAAAGGTTTAGTCAAAGGATCGGCCACATTATCATCCGTGCCGATCTTGCAAATTCTGATTTCACCTTCGGATTTCCATTCCCTTATCATGTGAAATCGCCTTTAAACATGTTTGACCTTCTGGTGCTCTTTTGGCTCTCTAGCTGAGCGATAGCTCCATTGTTGTCACAGTAGAGATCTATCGTACCCTTGATGAAGGGTACAACACCAAGTTCACTGACGAACTTCCGAATCCAAACATCCTCCTTAGCAGCTTTTAAAGCAGCCAAGTATTCGGCTTCAGTCGTAGAGTCTGCAATTGTGCTCTGCTTTGCACTCTTCCAGCTAAATGCTCCTCCATTTAGGAAAAATATGTACCTGACTGTGACTTGAAGTCGTCTATGTCAGTCTGGAAGCTAGCGTCGGTGTAACCTTCAACAACCAGATCTTTATGGCCACCATAAACCAGGAATTTATCCTTGTTCCTTTTCATGTACTTCAGGATATTCTTAGCCGCAGTCCAATGCGCCTCTCCTGGGTTTGATTGGTATCGGCTCGTAGCACTAAAGGCATACGAGACATCTGGCCTGGTACATATCATGGCATACATGATCGACCCAATTAGCAAAGCATATGGAATATGATCCATTCTCTCTCGCTCAACAGATGTCTGTGGACACTGTTTCTTGCTTAGAGTTATGCCATGGGACATGGGTAGATGCCCTCTCTTGGCATTCTCTATGTTGAATCGTGCCAGTACTTTATCAATGTAAGTACTCTAGCTCAATCCAATCATCCTCTTAGATCTATCCCTGTAGATCTTGATGCCCAATATGCACTGTGCCTCTCCTAAGTCCTTCATTGAAAAGCACTTTCCTAACCAGCCCTTCACGGACTCCAGTAAT